TCAGCATTGACCTTCCAGCTCCACACCCACACACAAGCGTACATCTGCTCCCATGTGCACACGCACGCACATGCATACACACACAGACAACAATTTCTAAACAGAACTACAAATGTCAATAAATATTCAAAAAAGTATTTAATATTCCTAGCCATTAGGGAAATGCAAATGAAAACTGCTTGAGACTCCATTTTATCCCAATCAGCATAGTTATCATCAGAAAGACAGACAAATGCTAAAAAATGTGAAGACAAATGCTCATTTACTGTTGGTGAGGATGTAAACTGGTATTGCCTTCATGGAAATCAATGTGGAGGTTCTTCAAAAGCTAAAGACAAAATCACCACAGGACAGAGAGCTTGTAAGTCAACATTACCACAAGATGCACATCCATTATTACTGATGTACTATTTATAAGAAAAGAAATGGAAACAGCATGTCTATCAAAAGATATAAAGAAAACAAATATAAACATCACAGAATTTTATTCCACTGTAAGAAAATGGATCAAACTTGAGATCATCATGTTAAGCAAAGTAAGCCAAACCAGACTCAGAGAGGCAAATATCACACTGTACCTCTGTTTGTATGTTATCAGCGTGGAAGGGGACCATGAGACAGGAGAGGTTCTTACAGGAGTAGGGACAAGCGAAAGGGTTATGGAATACACAGACATGAAAGGAAAAGGGCACTATCTGACAAGAAGGGAGGACAGCAAGAGGTGGGCAGGTGGAAAAGAATGAATAAGACCACCATATAATCATACACGCGTGCGCACACGCACGCGCACACACACACACACATACACACACAGAGGAACACAGGAAGCTAACAACTGCCTATAACTCCAGCCCCAGAGGATCCAACACTCTTTTCTAGCCCCTGTGTACACACACATTCACATGTGTGTGTGTATACATACATGCATATATGTAAATATATATTTAAAGATTAAATCTCAAAAAAACTTAGTCAAAAAAATGAGATAATAAAGCCTAATTCTTTGCAAACTAGTAAAAAGTTTTAAATAAATAAAAAGATTCATTTTCCAGACTAGTCAATATCTAAAACCTGTCTTTATAAACTTCCAATAAAGGAATACTTTGATGTTATGATTTATTCAAAGTATTTTCCAGAATAATTTATACATTATACTGGGTGATGGTAAGTATACAGTCTATATTGTATTATTTTTAGATTCTGTATATTCAAGAATATTGTAGCCGGGTGGTGGTGGCACACGCCTTTAATCCCAGCACTTGGGAGGCAGAGGCAGGCGGATTTCTGAGTTCGAGGCCAGCCTGGTCTACAGAGTGAGTTCCAGGACAGCCAGGGCTACACAGAGAAACCCTGTCTCGGAAAAAAAAAAAAAAAAAAAAAAAAAAAAAAAAAGAATATTGTATATTGAATAATACTGAAAGGTCACTGAGATGGTTTGGTGGCTGGCAATCCTGATGACCTAAGTTCAATTTCTAAGACCCACACAGGAGAATCAAGCTCTGAAAGTCATTATCTAAGGGTGCACACACACACAGACATGCGCACACGCATTCACAAATAGATAGACAATGAAATACATTAATCATAGCAAAAAGTATTAAGTTATACACAATCCATCCTAGTCTCAAATATGATTACCTGTCTCAAAAAGAAATAATAGTTATCAAATGATTATGATTTTTCTAAAATATGATTTCATTAAATACAAAAATGATTCATTACACCACAAGTGATCTGGGTACTACCAGAGACATAAAGACATACCAGAGACATAAAGCACAGCCTGGAAGCTCAGACTTTATTATAGAAACTTAACTCCTAGTCTGTCAGGTGGTCTGTGAGCGCCCTCTAGTGTCTGCTGGGTTCCTGCACTTTGTTCAGTCAGCTATGAGTTGCATCATAGGTTGTTTAAACTAAGCACAAAATGAGAAAAACAGCAACTTTATGAGTATTACACTGAAAACGTCAGACTTGAATTTCTTTCAATTCTGAATAATGTAACGCTCTTGCTAAGCATGAAACCAACACTAAATACTCTACAACCCTCTAATTTCAGGTACAGCAAGTCTGCACTCCTAAAGTTTCATTTATTCAAGCTGGTGTAAGAGTAAAATTTTTTGTATTGTTGAAATTTGTCTTTTGATGTTGGAATAAATTCTTAAATAAATATGGTCATATTTTACATCATTTAAACGCTCATACTTCTGAGTCAGGCTTTTTTTGTTTTTGTTTTGTTTGTTTATTTTTGTTTTTTTGCTAGTGACACTACTTGTTGCCTACTTTATATTTATTTTATATTGTAGAAATTACTATGAACAAGAAACAAGTTAAAGCAATTTTCTTATTCCAGTTCAAACACACAATGAAGCAGTACAGACAACTGACAACATTACCAATTCATTTGGCCTAGAAACTGCTAATGAACACACAAGGCAGAGAGGTGTGTTGAGAAGCTCTGCAAAAAAGATGAAGGCCTTGACAACGAGGTGTGCAGTGGCCCAGTCATCAAACCTGACAATGACTGACCTAAAGCGATGCCCTTATGACTACACTAGATGTTGCCAAGAATACAATGTGGATCACTGAATGGTCACTAGACATTTGAATTAAGTTAGAAAAGTGAAAAGGTTCAGTGAGGACCTCATCAGATCACTAGAACACATTTAAAAAAATCATACCTTTGAACTTCCACCCTGTTACTCTATGCAGCAATAACCAGTCATTTTTTGATTGGACTGCAACATGGAACAAAAAGTGGTTTGTATATAACAACCATCAATGACCAACTCAAAGGCTGGACTGAGAAGCTCCAAGACACTTCCCAAGGCTAAACTTGCACGTAAATAAAGACCCTGGCTACTGTCTGCTGCCAATCCATCCAGTGCAGCCTTTGGAACGCAGGAAACCATGACATCTGAGAAGCATGCTCAACATACTGAGATGACTGAAACCAGCACTGGTCAGAGAGGCCCAATTCCCTGTCAGTGTCTTCTCCATGACCATATCCAACTACTGTAGGGATAATCTCTTGTATAGTGTGCAGAAGCATCACCTGTCAATAAAAATCTGATAGCCTGTTGGCAAAAGGCAGGAAGTAGAAGGTAGAAGTTTCAGTAGAGAGATTAGAACTCTGGGAGACAGAGGCAAGAGATTTGCCACACGGATTCTGAGGAAGTTGGGAATCTGAAACTGAGGAAGGTAACCAGTCACAAGGCAAACAGAAGTTTACATGGGTTAAATAAGTTATGAGTTAGGGAACAAGTGTAGCAAACAAAGGTCATAGCATTGTTAGTAATTAATAAGCCTCTAAGTGAATTTAGCTTGTGAATTTAGGCACAGAAGGAGAGCTTGAGGTTACAAACAACTTACTGCACAGCCAGTGCTTCAAAAGGCAAATGGACTGGGCTGGAAAATTTAGTACCAAGTTTCTGCCTGATGCACCAAACTCACCTATCACACCAACCAGCTGCTGCCTCTCTAAGCTTCTGCAAGAACTTTTATCAGGATAAATACTTGTACAAGCAGCAGAATGAAGAAAATACTTTTCAAGACTTTGTCAAACTGCAAAGCATAGAGTTTTATGTTATAGAAATAAGCAAGTCTGTTTCTTGTTGACAAAAAATGTATTGACTTTAATGGTTTCTATTTGATAAAAATGTGTTAGTTAGTTACAGTGATTTAAAATTCATTGCCTGAACCCGCCATTTATTTTGCACCAACCTAAGACAGAAGTCATTAATGAGCCTGGGAAAGTCAGTAACAATGTACGGTGCTCACTTAACTGGCCAGTTCCCACTGCAAAGTTACCTACTCACAAAAACATACCTCTAATGAAAACTCACTATTCACAGACTTTATGGTCATTTTGTGGATCTGAGAAACGTGGTGAAAAACCATCTCTAATAAAGTCCCCCACTCTGCCTTTTTATGTTAGCTCTTACACTTAAGAGACGACCTTTGAACAGTGACGTTAAGGCCAAGTTTTCCACATTTTTGTGTTCATTCTCTCTCCTCTCTCCTTTTCTTCCTCCCCACTCATGTGTGCATAAGACATATACAGACAGAGAGAGAGACAGACAGACAGACACAAACACAGACACACACACACATTTTCGTGCTTTGAGTACTTAGAATGGTACCCAAATCATTTAAAAAAAATAATTACTGTCTAATGTTCCTGAGCACAAGAAGGCTCTGACATGCCTATGGAGAAATTATGTGTTAGATACACTTCTTTAGGCATGAATTATAGTGTTTTTGGCTGTGACTTCAGTGTTGGTGAATCAATGATATAAACTAAATACAATGTCTTCAAACAGAAACACACATAAGGCCAGGTTACATACTGATCAAGTGACAATGTTATAAGAAGCTTACTGGAATCCAATCCTACGAGCAATGATTCAGTGTTTCCTAATATATACATGCTTAACTTATAGGCTACAACTACCACAGACAGTGAGAATTAACTATATGCTAGTAATTTCCAAAGTGCTACCATCAGAAATTGTAGTTACTCTTTAAGATAGCACACTAAACACTGCATCTGAGAAATCACACACTTTATATAAAGCCCTTTACCTAGGCTTCACTGTGCCTCAAAACACCTGTCTAAAAAGTGGTATGATCTTATTGAACTCTCTTAAACATGACTATTGGCTCTGAGAGGTTATTCATATTTTTCTAGTATACATTAAAATAATACATATATATTATAAATTTTAAGTATGTATATTACAAAAAACTATCTCATATCCCTCCCAATGGTGCCCATGCTAATGAAGACATATCAATGATATTCAGGAAAAAGTGTTGTGGATCATAGAAAAGATATGGCCTTTAATAAAATCCCACGCCTCCATTTATTCAGATGAAGAACACAACTCTGGATTGTAATGTAAAGTACACTACAGCATTGGCATGAGAAGAATGTAAAAACCTGCAACAGGATTCAAAGTAATATTTTATAGAAACATCAAGAAGAACACTACTGTGTGTACCTGAGGCCATGTCAGACTGTTGAAATACCAGTCCAGGGTCTGCGTGCAGAGCGGAAGGCTCTGCAGGAGAAGTGGGCTGCAGCATGCGGATCAACGGTCCTGCTGAGATGTCCTCTGCTGCTTTCAGCACGAGCCTCTGTCCTTCACTAAGCTCACCCACACTGTTATCCAAGTCCTTCCAAAATGAGAAAAACCATTAAAGCCATTATAGTAAATCAATCAAAGCAGGAAATATTTTGTAAATATCATGATACATAACACACAAGTGCTTCTAATGTCACATTTCAGGTACACGTACACGAGTAAGTCTAAGAAGTTAGTTTAGGGATCAACAGGACAGCTTAATAAGTAAGGGCCCTTGCTGCTGTCTACAGAGCAATTCAATCCCTGGAAGCCATATGGTGGGAAAGAACCTACTACCTGAAGCCATTCCTGACTTCTACATTTGGTATGTGTACTTGCTCCCACACACAATAAGTAAATAAATGGAAATTTTTTTTGAAAAGAAGTTTTAAAAGGCATTTGGTATTGTATGTGTATTCATATTTATATGGGTGTGGTGTGGAACTGTAAACAAACACACACAATAAATGTATCTTTAAAACTTCAATTTGTTGTATTTTTAAATTGTAGCATTAAAGATTGGAGGAGACTAAATTTTTCTCAGCTACAAAGTTTAGTTCAATCTAGGTTAAATGGGCCATGACACTGATCATAGAGTAACTTAAACACTGTCCTACCAAAATTTAAAAATCGGATATTTAATATTTTTCCTGTATTTATATCTACCGCCCCTAAACCCCCATGCCCAAATCTTTATGGTTGAAAAGTACCTCTGCTTGCTGTGAAACTAGGAGTTCCTGTTCTTGCTTAGTAAGAAGAGAAAGGATTGCATTTTCATGAAGCCTTTTATGGGGCCTCCTCATCACCTGTCCTTCACTGGGAGGCTCATCTTCCTAGAGCAGACATAAATTCAACATTAAAAAGGTTATCACACAATTCCACTTTCTCAATTATGACTAATAAAACTTTAGGAAGAAATGATACCAGTATGTTTCAAAAGATGAATTATTTTCATGTAGCTCTCATTTACAGTTGACTATAATAAAAACACTTCACATCTGCCTCAAATGTGTACAAAAACTGCAACGCAATTTAAGTGCAGATCTATGACAGATCATCTGTCTCACTCCACTAAACTACAGTGATTCCTAAGTGCTTTTGTGAGGTTCAAACAGCTTGAGTGTATGGCTCACATGACCTCCTGCCTCACGTTTATGTACAGCATATCAAGTCAGGGTGTAGCAAACCAGCCAAGCACCGGGGGAATGCTGCAACCTGGACCACAGACAAGAGAAAGCTTCAGAAACACCAGCCTCTGCAGCCTCTCAGTGTTCTTCCTCCTCTGTGCAGACATCATCTGTCTACACTAGGGGAGGCACAGAAACCCTTTACCTAGGCTTCACTGTGCCTCAAAACACCTGTCTGAAAAACAAGGGATGCTGTAATGCTCAGCATCAGACAAAATGAATTTCCTTGTTAATACAAGAATGAATATGATTTACAACTCGTTAAAACAATTTCTTGCCTTTGGCTGTAAGATAAAGTATAACAAATTTATTTAAATTATTTTTGGTTATTCTGTTTTAATGAAATACTGTTTATTAACTCTGGCTACACCTCCTAGCTGTGTAGGGATAAAGCACCTAATGGCACATGATTTCAGTTAACTCTGGGTTTTCCTAGGTTATATTTTTCATTTGCATTTACTATAAATTTAGATACAGTAACAAAATTACAATTAGAAATAGTTTCAAATGTAGAAAAAGAAAGGTTATAATTTTGTCTGGGTTCAGTTGATCTATTTACTTTAATACCAGATAAAGTTCTAAGAATGAGTAACAATCCCATAGTGGTGTATTAAATGAGCCAAACATACACACAATTCTCTGAAAGTACGATTACTGTAATTATGTCATATTACTTCACAACAGTGCCTGCAACTACAGGAGATTCAACCAATGACTTAACAAGTCATCATTAAAAAACAACTGTTCAAACAAAATCCTCTCAGGATTTTAAAAAAAAGACTCCCTGAAGCATTTTCCTACTCCTTTGAGAATGCGCTTTGAAAGAAACAGCAAAATGAACAGTGCTTAGCCATGAGTGTAGCGTGACAACAGAGCACAATCACCTGTGTGTTAAAGCGCCTGAAAACATACAAAGTGAAAAATGCATTCCTTAACAGTTGTAAAAGAAAATTAATACGTGTATATGATAGCTGTATACACGCAAATAAAATATAACATGATATTATCAATACCATTTTCTCATCTATGGCTCTAATAACCAGGAATGATTACTATCCCTGGTTCTTATTTTTATTTTAGTGTTTTATAAAGGATTTATTTTCATTACTTTTAATTACATGTCCATGTGTGAATATGTGCACATAAGTTTAGGTTCTCATGAAGTGAAGAAGAGGATGTCAGATCTCCAAAAACTGGAGTTACAGATGGCTATAAACCACCTGAAGTGGGCGCTGGAAACATGGGTCCTCTCCAACAGTGGTACCCCTAACTGTTGTGATTTGTAACCCATTAAATTTATATATACATACATATTAATGAATATATATATGTGTATATATATTATACATACATACATACATATATATTATACATACATACATACATATATATATATATATATATATACATATACACATATATATAATACAAATGTACTACAGGAGACTTAGAGTACTTAAGACCCTGTTCAAAGTACTGCGGAAACAATTCCAGGCCTCGTTACCTAACTGTATTAGCATGTATCATTAGCTTATCATATCCTTAGAGGTTGTAACAATTTTCTAGTCATTCTCCATTATATAGGATTATATAATGAAATGGTAAGCAACCCTCTCCTACTAGTATCTCTAGCTCCCTCCCTCCTTCTCTGCCATCTTTCCTTTTCCAGCTGAAGCAAGGTGGCACAAAGCTCTCAGCCTCCTAACTCAGCTTCCAAAGGGTCTGTGACCACAGACAGGGACTTGGAGACTGTGCCTGGTCTCATGGTAACAATTCACTAAACTTTGTCTATATCTCAAACAACTGAGGAAAAACTGTTCAACAGCAACAAGACATCAAGACATTCTTCCAGTGAGGCTGGAGTCAGCTTTTTCTTACCATTTCAAAGGCATCCTGCAGAGTGCTGGATAAACTGTCATTTATGTTCATCAGAAACAAGTCCCCATTTCCTAAAAGTTGAAAGCAAAGTAGAGCAATTTAGGAAAAAGGGAGACATTTACTAAGAAATCTGGCCAGAAAGCACAGAATTCTACATTTAAAGTTAAAGTTCGGTAGCAAAACTCGTAAAGTTCATATTTAGGTCCACTATTTGGTAAATTACGCAAACAAGCATAACAAACATGAGCTTTTTATTTCGCCTATTTAGTCGTCAGAATTCTTTTAGTTGTTTAAGTTTTTACTTGCTTGATTTTTCAAGACCAGGTTTCTCAGGCTATCCTGGGAACTCAGGCTGGACTTGAAATCAGAGATCTGCCTGATTCAGATCCTGCCTCAGTCTCCCGAGATTAAAGGTATACACCACCATGCTTGGCTCAGATTTGTTTTTTAATTTGAATTACTGTTATTACTTTGTGTGTATAGATGTTTCCCAACATGTATGCCTGTGTCCCACGGCTATGCTTGGTGCCATGGATGCCAGAAAGAGGGCATCTGACCCCCTCCAACTGTATCTACAGATCAGTGTGAGCAGCCAGCCATGGAGTGCTGGGAATTGAACCTGGTCCTCTAGAAGAGCAGCCAGTGCTCTTAGGCACAGAGCTGGCTATCCAGCTGTCAGAACTTGAAATTAACTTCAAGGACCAAAATAGGTATGAAACTGAGAAACAGGCACCCCTACAAGTTGTTAAACGTACTTAAGAACTGATTTAAATAAAAAGCTGGTTAATCTTTCCATGAAGTATGCTGACTGTGTATCGCTAATTTAAAGTTGGCAATCTTATCTCAGAATTCCACTTGTAGACATGGATTATGGAAGTTATCAGGTAAGTGCTCAGATTCATGCAGGCATGGTCACTACAGCCTGGTCTAGAACATGGGAAACAGTCTAAATAAACGCCCCTCACCGAAATGGATCAACAACTACTGGAAAAAGGCATGATCCATGTCTGTTGCTACTGAAATATGTTTACCACACATTACTTTGTAAAAAGTTCAGGTTTTATAATGATATACACAGTGTGATCGTATAAAAAGGTACACACATAAGTACTATTTAGGTATCTATACATGCAAAGACAAAAAATACACTAACAGAATACATCTTGAGCTATTATCAAATTAATCCTGAAGAAAAAAAATTTGAGGGAGATTTCATTAACCAACCTGCACAGAACATTAAACCATGTTAAATCTGGAGAAATAAACAAAAACATTTTTAAAAGAGAAGTTATCATTAAGGAAGCTATTATAACTAACAAAGTCAATTACAACATGTTAACTTACTCTTGGTTGGCAAGTTTTGACCACAGCTAAATAAGATCTCCCCTTCAGATATATGCCTGTCTAAAGTTTCTGTCTCAGTGACAGTGCTCAAAGTGTTCTCCAGGGTTGATGAACTAGAACTTGGTATCTGCTGGAGAGAAGGGGCCTTGGTGTCCTCAGGAAGTGATGCTAAGGGAACTGGCTCCGGAAGTGCAGGCTGAGCAGAAAAGTCAACACTCTCAGGTTCTTCGTTAGCCACAGACATTACACTAAGAAGATAAAGGCACGTTTTGAGTTACAAATCACTGAAGGCCTACATCCATTCATATGCCTTTATGCATATTATATACATAATACAGTCTCTTTTAGCAAAGTGATTACTGTAACTAGTTAACAAGACTCATTCTCAAGTTGTGCTTTCAGAGACCACCTTGAAAGCTGTTCTAGCTACAAAAGAAATCAATATGGCTTAGCAATGCAAACATTAACTGAACACAGTATATGAAGATCTATACTAGAGCAATAATCATATATTTCATTAATAATCAGATGGTTTATTCTTATTTACTTTAAACCTTTGGCAAAGACAAGAGAATATTTTTAGCTTTAAAATAATTTAAAATTTATAAAAGTTTTTTTTTTCCCCAAAGAATAGATTGAAGCCATGAATGATGGAAACATGCCTGTAGTCCCAGCACTTAATGAGGCCAAGGCAAGAAGATTACCAATTTAATAACAACCTCGGTTACAAAGAAAATTCCTGACCAGCTGGATTCATGCCTTTCTCTGCCCCTCTATGGCAGGGATAGCATGTGAAGAGTGGACCTGGCAGAGCTGCAGAATAACAAGTGTGTGGGCTCCCTTACACGGCTCTTGGGTGAAGAAGTTCTTGAGGAGAGTTAGGATTCTCTTCATCCAGCGGTAGGTCTCCACTGTCCCATGGCTTGGGAAGTTCAGGGCTTGATAACTTCAACTTGTCAATGGAAATTTCGGACAAAGTTGGGGTAAGAGCTGCTGCTGGAGGGGGGGTAGTGACAGGAGTCCGTGCTGGTGTACTAACAAGTGTGACAGCAGGCATATCATAACCTCCTAAAGGTTAGAAAGAGAAAACAAAGACTCAGTCAATAGCTTTCTAATGTGCTGACTCCTTGTTTTAGATAATGCTGGCATTAAATAATGGCAATCATAATGACGACAACAATGACAGCCTTAATAAGAACATTTCTACATTTATTAAGGTATAAAAATTAAAACCTTGAAAAGATGGCATTTTAAAACTGCTACACATTTAAAGCAGTTTCACCAGTTATTAAATTACATATTTTCAGAAATAATACTTTTCTGTGAATGCCTCCCTGGAAAGTTGTATTGGAAACTTAATCCTTAACCCATATGTTGCAATGTGGAGGAAGGCCCCTCGTGAGCTACCCAGTGGCACACGAGCCCTACATGGGATTAGGAGCTCCATGAGAAGTAAGACCTCAGCCTGCAGGCTCCTGTTCTCTGGCTGCTATATGACACCTTTTGTCATTCATAATATAGCAAGAAGGCAGCCCCTCAGTGTGACTTCACAGTCTTTGGAACTTAAACAAACAAACAAACAAACTCTTAATTTAACTTATAAATTACCTAGTGTATGGCATTCTGTTACAGTGCATAAGCAGTCAAGTGATAAGCAATTCCTTAGTTTCTTTTTTTGTTTTGTTTTGCTTTTTTAATTCCTTAGTTTCTTTGCCCCCCCCCCCAAAAAAAAACATTTACTAAAGACTACTAAGCAAAAACTACTTATAGTTGCTAAAAGTAAAACTGAATTATAGAAACAAGTTTTAGGTTCAGGCAGGATGCCTCAGCAAGTCAAGCATTTGCCTGACACCCAGAGTTCAATCACAGTATCTGTGTTAAAACTTCTCCCTTGACCTTCACATATGTGCTATGAAGTGTGTGTTCGCATAGGCACATGCACACACAAAACCACACAACCACACAATGTTTTTAAAGAAACAAGGCTTCTACCTTTTTCAACACATATCTCTTTAATACAAGAAGCCACATCCTGATCGGATTCGCAGGGAGAGGAATCTGGAGTTTTTACTACCATGTGCTCCTTCAAAGGTGCTGGTGAGCACGGGGGAGTAGGCTGCGGTGTAGCTACTGGAGCACAAACTCTTGCCTAAGATAAATTAGAGAAACAAAACACAGTATGTTTATAACCACCCAAACAAAACTGATATGAAACAGTTCTATGAGCTCAATCCTAGACTACACAGGATTTAAATGGACGGAAAAAGCAACAGTAAAGTAATAGCCTGAGTGCTCTCGGTCTTAACTATTTGGCTGCTAGTATAAGACTGGCCTAAGGAAATCCTTGGGCAACTGAAGTAACTGTGTCTGAAAGAAAACTGTTACTGTCTTCTAATACAGAGAAAAGATTAATCAGCCAGAGACAAAGATCAAACCCAACTACAAACTCGATGGGCTGCATGGTTGGCCATGCAACAAAAGAGAAGTTCTCTGACTGACAACGTGTTAAACCATTAGCCTCTAAGAATAAAGGCTCGCCATGTAAAAAGTAATAGCAAGTAAGAAAAAGGAGAGGGTAGGAGAGATAAACAGTAGAGCCAGAAGCAAGCAAGAAAAGAAGGAAACATCGTAATATTGTCACCTAAAGTCAAATTCAAAAGGTTCCAAAATTCAAAGACATAAAAGAATAACAATAAAATCACTGTCATGTTTCCTTTCTATCTCATTTCTTTCCTCAAAGATACCAAGTAATCCCGACCTAAGTCAATCACATGTACATAGATTTATCTATGGAATAAGTCCTCAGTCCTAACTACTGAAAACACTGTTTTAATTCTGAGCAGATACTGTGGAACTCCCCTATAGGACTATGCTACTTTACACTGTCAGCAGAGACAAGGACAATGCCTGTTGTTCCAGGGTCTTTCGTAGGTATGTGGGCAATTTGTGTTTCTTTTCTGTGAGGGAACAACCCTGTCATTTCCTTTGTTCATTTTAGAAACATTATTATCCACTTTAAAAAGCTTTTATATATTCCATCCATGTTGCAAACTACTACCTAACATAAACTGATGGCAAGAGTCTACAGCTATACTACCCTGGACATGCCCAATATCGTCCAAAATGATGACAGATTATTAGAAATCCTGGAACACTGCTCAACAGGTAGCAAACTCTTTTATGTGGAAAAAGAATACACTCTATCTTTTCCACTTCTTGATTGTATTTAAATACAACATAAAAATCTCTGTGTGTGTGTGTGTGTGTATTTACAAATAAGATGGCCCACCTATTCCTCATGAGAGGATCTGAAGGTATTCTTCTAGCACTGGTGACCAATTACCAACAATGATAAACTACTAGGAACTGAGTATTCACGGAGTTCTAGACTCTAGGTTCTAAAGGTTATTTAATCATCCATGAGAGCCATCGCTGAGAGGTCTACAGTTAACAAGGCACAGACATGAGCATATGACTGCACCAAGCTCTGTCAAATCAACGGTGGTGGTACACACCTTTAGTCCCAGCACTCGGGAGGCAGAGGCAGGTGGATCATGAATTCTAGACCAGCCTGGTCAACAGACCAAGTTCCAGGACAGCCAGGGCTATCCAGAGAAACCCTGTTTCAAAAAACGATGACGACAAAAAAAAAAAAAGTCAAATGTATAGCTTTATACATAAAAGATTAGTTTACAGGATTCACCTGTATAATATGTCTTTGTGATCTACAAGGTCAGAAATAGCTGCAGAGTTTTCTAAAGTTCGTTACAAAGTCAACTTTGGATTTGTATCATTTCTACAATAGATTAGAAGGTGAGCAGACAAACAATAATAAAGTATATGAAATACATTTTCTCCTAAATTAGTAAAGTAAGAAAGTACCTTTGTATGTAGAAACTAGATATTAAAGTGTGTGACATAAAAGTACAAACAAATCCTCAGGGAGAAGAGGAAGCCCATTGGTCTCAACATGGAGTAGGAGGAAGGACAAAAGGGGGATGAAGGTGGGCAATGTGAGCAGAGTAGACACTATATATGGAGGTGTCCTGACCCAGTACTTCTATAGGTTTACTGAAAATGATTAATAAAAAACAGAAAACTTCTTTTTAGGGAATGCTTTTCAGGTAGAGTCACATATTCCCAACTTTCAAACTTTTTTAAAAGAATATACTATAAGGCTCGAAAGATGACTTAGCAGTTAAGAGTCTATTGTTCCTGAGGACATGGGTTCCATTCCCAGCACGAATATGGAAGTTTATGACTATCTGTTCTAGGAGATCAGATGCCTTCTTCTGGCTTGTGAGGGTACTGCATGCAAGTAGCAGACAAACATCCAGACAAAACACTCATACACTTAAAATATCTTTTTAAATATATAGCATATATAGAGATAGATTTTAGAAATGTATTCAACTGTCATCAACGTTTAATTTAGGAAGTAAATACAGGGGAAAACTGATCACTGTAACACACTTGTAACTTTTCTGTAGATTTCAAATTTTCTCAAAAAGAAAAAAAAAAAAAAGCTGAGTATGATAGCACATACTTGAATCCAGTTCAAGGCCACCTTCAGGTGCATAGTGACTTCAAGGCCAGCTTGGGCTACAAGAAACTTAATCTCAAAAATTAAAATAATAAAATGCTAGGAAAAGTGTTAATGACATCACCAAGGAATAAAATTGTATCACAATCTATGATCTTATAACATTAAGTTTAAAATATATCTTTTTTTTTTTAGGTGTGATGGCTCCTACATGTAATAGCAGCATTTTTTATGTATTCTGAAGTAGGAGGATTATCTTGAGCTTGAGGCCACCCTGAGCTACAGAGACAGAGTTCCAGGCCAGCTTGGACTATAGGGTGAGACTGTCTCAAGCAAACACAGACAGACAGACAGACAGACAGACAGACACACACACATACACACGCACACTGCTCTTTAATAATGTCTAAGAATTCCCCACAATTCTTAAGTTACAAGAGAACAGAAAGTCATTCCTACCGACAGGTTAGTTTCACTTCTTGAAAGATCACTTGCAGCAGCAGGCCCCTGCTTCTTTGCCTCTCTGTCAGCTAACATGACAGCAATGGTCTCAGCCAGGGCTTCATTGACAAAATGGCTGATCATGTCTGAGTTCACAGGAACTCCAGCATCAACCATATGCTGGAGCGCTCCACTGCTTGTTCCTGCGACTACAAAAACAAGAACTTCAGATAATGCCAAAGAACATGGTTGCAGCCACACCTTACTTCTTAAGGTCTTACAAAGGCTGATAGCTATGTGTGTGAGCACTAAAGGTGGAGTGAACACTGAGAAGAGACGCAAAGCTACTTCCACAAGAAAGACAAAGATAACAGCATAAATGAACATTCTTTTTCAACAAACCAAGAGGGAGAAAAGTACTCAAGTAAAAATTCACTTAATATGCCTTCTTCCCTACTAATACAGAAGCTAATGAAAAGTATTACAGCCATACCAAATTTCCTCAGCTGGAAACAATTCCACTTCCAGTCCCAACCAAAACACAAGGATACACTAAGCAGGAGGTAAGCTTTCCCTCCCTCTAGTTCAGGGACATTGCATGCCAAGCCTCCTCAAGCTTCTATAGCAGGGTTTGGGAAGTGAAAGATCAGGCTGTAAAGGAAGAACAGGCTATCCCAAGAGTGGAAAGACAGGAAGAAGAATTTTTTTTAAAAAGGACACATGTGGTACACATAAAATAATGCAGACAAACACACACACATTAAAAAAAATTAAATAAAAAAGGAAGACCAGAAAGATCTACAAATTTATGGCCAATTAGCTTTCAATAAAAAACATTAAGATAATTTAATGGAGAAAGGATAATCTTTTAAAGAATACTAGAGAAATCTGAAACCCATAAGCAAAAGGAGAAAGGGTAAAGAAAAAATGAAAGGCATTTTGCATCCTTTAAACTTTAACTCAAAATATACTATGAGTGTTGAAGGAATCACTGAATAGTAGAGTCTAGCCTAGCCTGGGCAAGGGTCCTGGGCTCAATCCCTGGAACACACAGACAGGAAGACAAACAGGCATGCACGCACGCATGCGCAGATGAAAGAAAACCTGTATATCACAATTAGATTCTGTTAGCCATCATACTACTCAGCATATTCAGAGACAGGCAAATAGAACCATGGTACTGCCTAGGATCTATCATGGTACCTCTATTTGGAAAATGCTCAGCAAGTCCTTTAACCATTTATTTATCACATGACTAGGACAAATTAAAAGCTGTGTCCAAACAAAAAATTGACCAAGTATTCTAATCAGTTTTATGATAGACCCAAACTAAAAGACAATAAACAGCAACTAATTGGTAACTAGATTAACAAATTATGACATATCCAGCATATAATACTAACATAAGCAAAAACATGACTGCCAAAATATTACACCAGGATATGCAAGATGGTTGAGAGGTAAAAAATGCTTACTGCCATGCCTGACCACCTGAGTTCAACCCCCTGGAACCATAGTGGAAGGAGCAAAACAACTCCTTCAAGTTGTCCTCTGACAACCAGAGCACACTGTAGCATACATGTGTACACAGACAGATACAAACACACACACACATACACACACACACATACACAAATTAATATAAAAAATATTATGCTAAATAAAGTCAGCCAACAAAAAAAAAATTATGTTATATGGTGCTCATGTATGAAAGTCTTCAAAAGATTAAAATACAGTGACAGGAAGCCAAACGCAGTTGGGGGCCACTGCACATGGGTGAAGGCTAGGAACTGTTTACAGAGCAGCATAGGAATACTTTAATATTGACAGAAATGTTTTCTGACGTGATTAAATGCATAACTATTTTAAAACTTGTCAAAATCTATACTTAGAACTGATGAATTTAAAGACAACTAAATTATTATTTTAAAAAGACTGATGTCTTTCATTCATATATATATATGTATACACACACAAACATACACATATATATATATATGTATTTTAAGAAGCTTCTACAGTAGTACTAATTCATTTCCATATGATCCCTCAAACGGTCATCAGTATTAGTTGGCCCTCCCTTAAACTCCTTTTCCCCCCTCCCCATTCCCATTTAATCTTCCTGCTTCAGACCATCCCCCACACACACCCACATACCTCCACAGCGTATTTTATTTCCCCTTCTTTGGGAGATCGTCCCCTACCCCACAGACCCTTTTTCTATACCTAACCTCTGTGGTTATATGGATTATAGCATGCCTATCAAAGCCTTTAAAGCCAACATTCACTAACACAAAAACCTAGACTAGACAATGTGCAGAGAGTGAGAGACTTTGGGATACTCAGTCCTAAAAGGGATGTCTCCATCAACCCTCTCCTCTGTGCAGAAGAGGAGGTGGGAAGACCAAAAGAGCCAGAGAAGATGGAGGACACCAAGAAGAGTGTCCAGACACAACAGGACTGACACACATGAACTCAGAGACTGTGGCAACATGTACAGGGGCCGCACAGATTCAAGCCAGACTGGATCCCAAATGAGAAAGAGAAGCAGGCACAAGCTTCCCATGTTAGGAGCTATCTAGGAAAGGCATACAAGTGACCTTCTGGAGATTACACATCATTTTGCATGGCTGCAATAGATAATTCTGAACTGCAAAGCTTTCAGAAATCTCATCTCAGGATTGATTCTTATTGCTGATATGCCTTTCCTGTCATTATTAAATTAATATAACAATTCCTGCCCACTCTATTGGGCAGATTTTCTGCAGATCAATGAAGATATACTCTTTTGTAATAATGCGATAAAGACAAATTGATGATTTCGTAATTCCTAATAATTATTCTATAGAATTCCTGAGCCCTCTATAATATGAAAGCTGCAATTAGGGTTCTATAAACCTTCATGTGTCACGAGCTAATTGTACTAAGATAGAAAGTAGGCCTAAAACAGATTTATGATCATGGAAAACATTCCAATTAGGCTGAATGTAAAACTGCTATCTGATAACTAAAGGTCATAAACTTAGAATCAACAATTTATTGTAGGTACAAGGACAGAAGATAAAATATTGACTGATTTTATCTAAACAAAATTTCAACTAATGAGACACTAGGCAGATGATTTGCCTCTTGACAAAACCATGCTAACTTAGACATAAGAATTACTGTTTATAACTCTTAACCCTGTGGAGCTGGTGACAGACAATGACTGCTAAATAAGATAACTAGTCTCAATGGAGACACGTGAACATCTCTGTCATTACTTCTTATTTAATTTATGATTTGAATTTATGTTTAAACTTGTTGTGAACTTTGAAAAAACATACTTAGAATACCACATGATCACGTGTCCTGAAAAAGTACAAGAACTAGGAACGATGACAATCAGAGCAGAAGCAGAAGAGAAGCAGAGCTGAGAGAGCACAGCACAGCAGAGAGCAGGCAGCCTTCTTCCTACCATGAGACACGGTTTGTCTAAACAGCCAGTTTCTTCTTACTGATAAGGACAGGGTTCTTTTTATATTCAATAAAAGGGTAGACTTTTTTTTCGTTCTCTAATCAATAAAGGTTGAAGCTTACTTTTCATCCAGAATGAGTGAGTTTTTTTCTTTGTTGGCACTTGCACAATGAAACCTGCTCGTGGGGGTTTTTGTTCCATCCATCAAATATGTATAAGCATTTGTAAGAAGAGGTGTGTGTATGTAAATATATATACATATGTGTGTGTGTGTGCGTGTGTGTGTGTGTATGAATGTTTGTGTCTATGCATGTTTGCTTGTGTAAACATTTTTTTATCTGCGAGCCTGAGTTTCTTTTCCTGGTTCACTAAAAGTTACTTGTTCCAAGCCTCCCTCTTGCCTGGTTAGCAACAGGCCAGGCCTCCAGGCAAGAGAAAAAGGAGCCTTAGCAATACATCCTCTACTGAATTCCCTACTGCTGTACCTCACATGTCAGAGAATTACACAGTAAGTTTATAACGTAAGTAGGAGTTAAGTTTCACATTGCTTATTCAAGCACAGAGAATTATAAATAATAAGAGAGAAAAAAGTTTCCCCAGCACTTAATGAAGCACAAAACAGTAATTAAGAGTTAAGTTTTCGGCCGGGCGGTGGTGGCGCACGCCTTTAATCCCAGCACTTGGGAGGCAGAGGCAGGCGGATTTCTGAGTTCGAGGCCAGCCTGGTCTACAGAATGAGTTCCAGGACAGCCAGGGCTATACAGAGAAACCCTGTCTCGAAAAACCAAAAAAAAAAAAAAAAGAGTTAAGTTTTCAGCATAGAACAATAAGAAAAGAGTTAAGTCTTCAGTACATAAAAACACATAAAAACAGTAAGAAAGAATTAAGTTTTTAGCACAAAACAGCTAGAGAATTAAAAGGCTGGAAATCATCAGTCTTTTGGTCTGTGTCCGAAGCTGTGTTCCACTTCAACCCATTCCAGCCAGGGTGGCCCCTGGCATCCCATCTCTTGCCAAGAAGCTATCCCTAGGCTTGCAAAAAGAAAAATTAGTTTTCTCTAGTGGAGTCTAGTGAATATACTGACCAGACTTAAGAGTAGCCCCATCCCCAGCAAAACAAAATGAATTTAATGGTAATTCTATATACTCTCTGTATCATATTGCTTTGTTTGAGCTTTATTTTTGACTTTGTGTTCTTACGGCTTCTTCGGTGTGTGTTTCTTGTGCTTTTTCTTTCCATTTTTAAAATTCTATTTTGTTTGCCTGTTTGTTTTCTAAAGAGAGAAAGAAAGGGCATAGAGCAGAGTGAGTGGGGAATAGGGAAGGAAAAATAAAGAAGAAAAACTGGGGGTGGGTGGAGTAGAAGAAGGAAATTAGGAAAAGGAGGCAGAAAAGAATCTTGAGGAGTTGAAGCCAACAAGAGGGCGAATCAGAGGAATGGCTCATTTAACCATTCAGTGGGAACTTAAACCTCATCAGTCAGTAGTCAGGGCCGGGCCAAGAAGGAACATCTTTACTACTGAATAATGTTTAGTCTAGTGAGTGGGAAAGACATGCCAGACAACTGTACTATATTGATACCTATTATAAATGTATTCTGATGATATCAACTTAATGGACTTTGGAATCAACTAGGAGACACACCTCTGGACCTTCTGAGAACATTTCTAGAGAGATTTAACCAGGAGGAAACAACCCACCCTAATGTGGCCAACACCATCTCATGGACTAGGGCTCTGGACTTTATTCAAAAGAAAAAAGAGTTACATATGAGGCATTATGTCTCCTCACTTCCTAAGGATGTAATGTGGCCGGCTATCTTATGCTCCCATGCTTTCTGAGTGAGGATATGGCTGGCCACAGCACACTCTCATTGGCATGTCTTTCCCATGACAATGAACTTCTACTCTCTCAAACCATCACACAAAATAAATCTTTCCTGTCTAAAGTTCCCTTTGCTAGGTACTAGATTGCAGAAATAGAAAAGTAAAAGGAGTTGCCAGGAAGATGTTTTAGGGTACAGGCACCCAGCTGATGACCTGAGTAGCTCCTAGAATCCACTGTGGAAGAGACGAAAGCTGTCTCTGACCTGGGCATGCATGAACACAGTATTCTATTGTTCCTCCACAATAACACATATGTTTGTATATTACATAATATATTTATATAATTTATACACAGACACAGACATATTTCTGTGGAGGAACAATAGAATCCTAGAGAATGGGTCAACAACCCCAAAGCGGCAATCTATACTAAGAGGGGAAAGGAATACTAATCTCATCTGCAGAGAAGCGGAAAGTGAGACAGCCAAGGATCCATTTGACCTCAGGGATCAGAAATCCATAGTAATTAAATTAAGAACATGCTCCATCTGACGTACCAATGTCAAAAGCTGATGGTTCGCTTGCCTCACTTACTGAAACACTGGCATCAAGTCTGGCCTGCTGCTGGAGTGGAAAGAGCCCAGAGATAATTCTTGACATTATTTCTTGTTCTACCCTAGAAGTATAAAGTTAAATACACTGAATTTGGTTAAAAGTATAAAATGTTCACTATATCACTCTAAAGAATAAGCTGTACTCATAGCATGAACATGCAAAAGCAGCCTTCTGGAAGTTTCAGCTGAAGGAAAAAACTTGTCTCTCCTGCTAAGACAAGCCTATAAAACTGTCCTTTTGGGAGACAGACTATGAAATCAACGTAGAGCTTTTCAGCCTGACAGAAAGCTCCCTGCAACCACCCTGGTTAAGCATATCATTTGAGTTGATAGTTATCCAGTATATCGTGTACTTGAAAAGCATGCTTCTCACTCAGCATGCATGTATGAAATCCTATCAGATCAAAGCTCCATGAAGTTCACTGAGCAGTTTGGGAATAGGCAAGTGCTTAAACAGCATCCTTAAACCAGCCATCCGGGGCTTCTATTTGTGAGTTTATTAGAGTGATGCAACTTTATTAAAAAAAAAAAAAAAAAAAAGCTAGAATCTTCTGTTCTCCTCTCGTCAAAAACATAAATACCCAAACTGCAAAACAGGGTAGAGACTTTCCTTGAAAAGGAAAGAAAAATGTATTTTCAAGGCATTGTTAGGAAGAGGAAAGGAAATGCAAAGAGTGGAGAGTAGAGGCCTTCTTCCAATACATTTCTTTAGAGCAGCTAATAGTCATACTAAAAAATTATTATCATATAAATGATAGATGTTTACTGTAGGAAAATTCAGAAAACTAGTTTTTTTTTTTTTTTAATTGGTCAGGTTCACTCATAAGCTCAGATTCAGAGATAAGTAGTTAATAACCTGACATATATTCCAAACATCTGTTCAACGCAAACTTATTTTAAAGTCTTAAAAACTAAGTTTATACTGTGTCTCTGGCTTTATTTATACACCAGAATACTATCTTTCACTCTTACTGAATAGTCTTCTAAGCCATTTCCATTTTTATCTGCTCTCCTGGTTTTGTTCACATCAACAGAATTATAAACTTACCACTGAATTAAACCTCACATCAGGGCTGGAGAGATGGCTCAGCGGTTAAGAGCACTGACTGCTCTTCCAGAGGTCCTGAGTTCAAATCCCAGCAACCACAGGGTGGCTCACAACCATCCGTAATGAGATTGGATGCCCTCTTCTGGTGTGTCTGAAGACAGCTACAGTGTACTCATCAAGAAAATAAATAAATAAATATAAAAAAAAAAAAAAAAAAA